AAGAGATTTTTCAAGCATATCTTCTTTGGTAAACATATATATCGCACATATTTTGGATGTTAACATCAATATAAAGATCAGAAGTAACCTTGTCATGGCTTTGTGATTTCGCCGGGATTTAAAATATTCGCGGTTTAATGAAAAATTTTGAATTTTTTCAACAAAAAAGATATTGTCTATTTTACCCGCTAAATATTATCCGATGACCACCCAAATAGGTAGGCTTCTTGCCAGCCCTAAACCCTAGCTACATGCGAAATTCCGCGTCGATTGGTCTATAATTGCGACCTGTAGAGCAAGTGCAAAATCAGGATTTTTTTTCAGTTTTTGGTCCATTTCAACCCCTAAATATTATGCGATCATCACCAAAAGAAATAGGGTTCTATTCTGACCATAGCCCCACCTCCATTTTAAATTTCGTGAAGATCGGACCATAATTGCGACCTGTAGAGTGATTACAAATTAACATGGACAGACGGACAGACGGACGGACGGACATACATAGCTATATCGACTCAGCTCGGCGAGATAGGAAGATCCATATATACTTTCCTATGTGGGAAATCAATATTTCGTGGTGTTACATAATTTTTGGGCCAATCAAACTTATAATACCCCCAACACATAGTGTTGTAGGGTATAAAAACAAAACATTAAGTTTGGCTAGGTAAAAATGAAAACATTTTTTATATAAAAGTATCTGGATTCAAACATGTTCCACTTTAAACTACAAATACGAGTGAGATCGGTAGGAGAATGCAGTTAAAGATTTCAAATACCAATAAAGTGGGTGGTGCCGTTGCATTGGAGCCATACCAAAACGTGAACCTATATAGACATATTTATACTAAAAGGATTTCTATCTGCTGCAAGTTTTAAATACCAAATTTGAAACAATTCCGTGGTTAAATGTGACTAAGATCATTAAAATACAGTGGGTACCGTTATATGATACACAGATCCGTTAGAACACTTGTTTTAAATTGTCAAAATACAGAATATCGGGAGGTACCGTTATATGGGGGCTATACCAAAACGTGGGCCGATATGCCCCATTTGCAATACCAACCATCCTAGGAACAATGCACACACTTGTGCCAAATTTCAAACGGACAAATGTCCTGAATCGGATTTCGTTGAAAGAGGCGTTATTTCGATCAGATACATTTTGGTCATATCAAATTATACAAACCTTCTGTAGCGATATGACTGATGGTATTATACGTATACACTTCCAGTTATTGTAGTATTTTCAGTTTATATGTTAAAAAATATACTAATCTCAACTAATATATACACATGAATAAACCTAAACAAACTCATTCAATGTTTCAGAATGACGAGTTCTGATTGGTGCAAGCCAATTTGCCCCAAATTTTATACTTCAAATAAATTCGCCCTAATTAAAACTTTGACATATCAAGTTTCTAAAAAAGTTGCTTTGTTGTAATTTTCGCCTATGTTGTTACCTGTTATTTCTACAATGGACCCAGCCGTTCTTAACTGATGTGTTACTATACTTATTTACATTTTTTACATATAGATTTAAAGAAGTAGGTGTGGCCAGTTCCACTAACCACAAGTCAAGATCACGTCGTATACTAACTATGATTTTGGCAAATATTAGGATTTTAGGTAAATCGACAAAATGAGCGTAAAATTGGGCGTAGTCACTTTTTCCTTTCATAAAAAACTAAGTCGTGGTAGGACGAACATTTAAAAAAAATTATCCAAATCGTTCCCGCCGTTTTCAACTGATTCTTACCAACGAGCAACAATTGAGTTTTTTATATGTAGATAGATTAAAAAGTAGGCATGGTTAGTTCCTCAGCCCCCAAATAAATACTTAGGGTTGGAGGGAAATTCAACAGAATCTCGTGTAATAATTTTCAAACCGACATCTTCATTATTTGACAAATATAAGGATTTTAAATAAATCAAAATAGTGGACGTAAAAGGAAGCGTGGTCAATATTTTTTTCTTTAAAAACATAACTCGGGGTATGACGAACGTTTGTACAAAAAGTTATGCAAATAGGACCAGCCGTTTTCAACTGATTCCATTACAAACGAACAACAATTGATTTATATGATGTCATTACCTATAATAAAAATTGTGCCGCTTATTTAAGTCAGATCTGTAATCTATTATGCTTTAAAAAAAAGCATTAAAGACTAAAAGTACGGACCGGCAACGCGGACCGGGCCAGCTAGTACATATATATTTTATAGATTTCTGAAACTGTTATACAAAACTCCTTAATGTTATACAACTTTATTCACACATAGTTTAGTTTTTCTTAGTTTCTTAGTTTAGTTTCTTAGTTTTTCTGTTCCGGGATCTTAAAGCAACAAACAAAAATAGTTTTGTTAGTTTTTCTAACTGTTATACTTCAAAACCAAACTGTTATACGGTATATTTTACTCAGAATTGTGCTATTTGATGCAGTATGCCAAGTTGGTGGTTTTCAACAATTTGACACTATCTTATTAGTACCTCACTATTGTGATTTGACTTTCTTTAAATTTCAAATCACAATAATGCATTTTGACAGCAATCTTAGTTAAGGGTGGGTGTTTCTTGTTTATGTGAAGTATTTTTGCTTACGTTTTTCTTTGTTTTATGTTCAAGAGAGTCATGGATGAAATGAAAGGTCTCGAGGGGTACTTTTTAAATATATATGCCTTATATTCCCAAATGATTTCAGATAATCGATTTTTTTTACATTTTCTAAACAACTGAATGGGAAACTGCTGAATTGTACAAAAACTATGATAGCTGCGTCATTAGGGTTCAAATGAAAGGTCTCGAGGAGTACTTTCTGAGTATATATGCCTTATATTCTGAAATGATTTCTGACAATCTAATTTTTCCGATTTTCTAACCAACCTTACTTTGGTTGGAAAATCGGAAAAATCATTTGTGAATATAAGGCATTTATACTTAGAAAGTACTCCTCGACATCTTTAATTTCAGCTGTGTGATTTTCTGTGAAATTAATTTAGGAAAATTGGTTAAATTGTAAAAATCTTTAATATAAAAAACATATTTTTTAATTAATCCCTTGTGCACCAACTCAAAATGCATGTGGTTTTAAAATGTCACTGAAAATATAAAAAATGTATAACTGAATGAACTTTTATATTGGGGAAATGGGAAAACATTGACCTATATAAAATTTGGTCTGCCACAGAAGCTAAAATTCATTGACAAAGTAAATAATGTGATCGTTTAACGGTTTGAATTGTAAATAAAAAATATATTAAATGTAACTGGTACAGTTTTTTGTCGATAGCTGCAAATTGTTGCAAATTATCTCAGTATCTTTGTATTTGTTTTTATTTTTAGCAAATACTGCAAACCACATTAAAGAATCATATTCTGGATGAAGAAATTTGATTTTGTAGTTGTTATAAAATGAAATCAATGAAAAGCTATTTTGAATTTTGTAGATGCAAAGAATCAGCCGCCATAAATAACTCACAACAAATTTTAATATAAACAAACACTCCCCACGCTACCCGCTAGATAAAAGTGAATTGTATTTTTCATAGAACAAAAATATACCAAATGCTCATAAATGACGTTTGTCTAAAATTAAACTGTGAAAATGCTATGACCACATATTAGAGTGTGCCAAACATTCTGACATGTATATTTCAAGAGCAAATATGGAAAATGAAAATGTACAATAGAAAGGCAAGGTAAAGCTACCAGCTGATTAAAAGTTGTTATCTGAGTGTGTCCGACTACTGCCAATTTAGTGTATGTGTTTATTGTTTTGAAAATTTAAACTAAATATTTAAAAATCAGTGGTTGGAAGACACATAGATTACAGGAAACGCATTAAGCATATTAACCAATTTAGCCATGGAGTTGGAAGATTGAACAGTTTGGGTTATATTTTTGAAAGAAAATCTACTTTTATAAGTCGATTTGGATTGACTTTTACCCGGCGTTTACATAAGAAACAAATTGCAATTGCCACTCGTAATGTTATTTCGATTTTTGTATGCCAAATCGTGATACAATTTTGCGCCTGTTAACATAAAAGTTCCGCAACAGAGAGCGACTTGAGATAGTTCCTCTACTGTGTGTTTGCATATTCTTGACGCATAAATGTCTTATAATAACTTGTGACTCTTCTTCTTCCAGCAGCAATTAGCTGTTTTTGATTTCCCGAGGATCCAATCTCTTACAGTTTTCCTACAAAAGGAAACAAAATTACCTTGATCTCTGAGAATGTATTTGCTGAAAAGTATCCTGACAGGCATAAATATGAAATGCAACATGTTAAAAGTCGTTAAGTTTGGCTGGGCCGAAGTAAGACCATCGATAGGAACATTTGGGCTAAGCCCAATTCGTTTAAACCCTTTGAGATACAGAATATCGGGTGGTTATGCCAACACGTGGACGTATATATTTAACACTTATTTTTTTTATTGTTTACAGAACATAATATACCGAATCCCAAACAATTCCGTTGAATTGTGAAATTGTATTTCTTTTATCTTTTAGTGATATTTCCACAAGTACTAATGCTTTTCTTTTATAAATTTCAAGAGAATGTAATTTTTTGAAAATATTCCCCATAAACATACAATCGCCCAAAAGGAGAAACGCAACAGAAACGTTTAGCTCTATTTTCCGTTTTAGCACATTATCCATAGGTCAGATATTCTGAATTCTACAACATTTTAAACACTTAAGATAATTCATCTGTCATTCTAATAACGTAAACACCGTGTTATTATACACCAATCGCCATTAATATACGATGAGTATTACTATTTTTACGCATTCTCCGATGGCCAATCTCGAACTCGCAATCTTCGGTTTTTATTTTGACACGCCCATTCTGTGAATGGGGACGATTGAAAAGTTTTATGTGTCATTTTCTATAATTAGAAATTGTCTTTTGCTTCTGTGGAAGGTACACTCTATTATTTGCGCCTATGACTCGCTATTTGGTTGATGTTCTCGAAATAATGCTTGGCGTGTTGTAGATTGTATCGTTGCTGACGAAACTATTCTAATATAAATTTGTTGGATTTTTTCTTGAGAAATTATTAGCAACGGAAAAGCGAACGTTGAAACAACCGTATCGAGAAAAATTACCTTGGAAGGAAAACATCAAAGGTAAATATCGAGGTGAGATCTGCACGAATTGACATATTTCTTGCCATCTTGCTTTTAATATTTAGTTTTTGATAACATTTGCTGATACTATCAGTTTGTTATTTTGTTTATTTCTTTGTCTGCTGTAGATGTCCGTAGTGCCCCTAATGTTCCGTGATTGGTGGGATGAACTTGAATTTCCAACGCGCACTTCGCGCCTTCTGGATCAACACTTCGGCATGGGCTTGAAGCGAGACGATTTGATGTCATCTATATGGAATAGTCGTCCAACAGTGTTACGATCTGGCTATTTGCGACCATGGCAACGCACATCTGGTTTGCAAAAGCAGGATTCGGGATCCACCCTCAACATCAACGACGAGAAGTTCGAAGTCATTCTAGATGTGCAACAATTCTCTCCGAATGAGATTAGTGTCAAAGTAACAGATAAGTTTGTGATTGTTGAAGCAAAACACGAAGAGAAACAGGACGAACACGGCTTCGTATCGAGACAATTTACCAGACGTTATATGCTGCCCAGTGAGTATTAAATATGTATGTAGGGCGATGGTGTACCCAAAATTCAGTGAAAAAAATTATTTCGAATTTGTCTTGCACTCCGTAAAAATACAAGTTGTGCTTACCCGTGGTCATAGCTAGTAAATAGGTAGAATATTTTTTACACCGCGTTACTTAGATGGTTTCTTTGGATATGCGTTAAATAAATTACCTTAAACGCGAAATATAAGCGTCTGTGTAAATAAGGCTCAAAACTCTTAATGTTCCAAACCTTCATTCAATCATATATTTATTCATGTTGTGTTAGCATACTTTTTTAGTGGGAAAACAAGTAAAGAATGGAATTGTTAAGTTCACTTTTAGAAAAGAGTTTTGTCAAGATCGTTGTTATGGTATGTGAAATCTGCTTTATTAAAAACAATTAAAAAAGCTATAAGTTCGGCTGGCCGAACTTTGAATACCCTCCACCATGTGGAACGAATTTGGCAATTTTCAAAAAAAAAAAAATCTTAAAAATACCGAATGTAGCCGTTATATTTGGGTCTATACTATGAAGTAGACCTGCATAGGCAACATTTCTCATAAGCCATAACAATATTCAAATGCGAAATTTGAAAAAATTGGTGAATAATGTCGCTAAAATCATCAAAATACCGAATAAACAGAGGTACCATTATATAGGTAACATTATATTATATAGAGGTACCATTATATTATATAGTAAAACGTGGATCTGAACAGACAATTTTCTGTAGGCTGTAGTATCCATTACGATCTTCAAATACCAATTTTGAAACAATTCCGGCGAATAATGTCGCTAAAATCACCAAAATACCAAATACCGGGAGGTGCCGTTATATTGGGTCCATACGAAGACGTGGACCTGCACAGACAATTTTCTGTCTTAGGCTGTAGTATCCATTACGAACTTCAGATATCAAATTTGAAACATTTCCGGTGAATAATGTCGCTAAAATCATCATATCGTGGCTATACGAGGACATGGACCTGCACAGACAATTTTCTGTCATAGGCTGTAATATTCATTATGAACTTCAAATACCAAACTTTACACATTTCCGCTGAATAATGTCGCTTAAATTAGTAAAATACCGAAAATAGGAAGGTATCATTATATGCGGGCTATACCAAAACGTGGACCTATATGGCCCATCTTCAATACCAAAAGTCCTGCAGACATAATATACATTTGAGTAAAATTTTTTCAAACTACTTCATTTCGTTCGGAAGCCAGAGTGATTTCCACAGACGAACAGACGGACGGGCATCGCTAAGTCGACATAGAATTTTATGCTGATCAACCATATTCCAAATTCAGTAACACAACTACAGTGTACATGAAGTCTGCAACAAAAGACAACTAATCATTGTCATAGAAATTTTGTTTCTGATGTACATTTTTCGTTAAATATGCATAGATAATTTACTAGCTGGCCCGGTCCGTGTTGCCGGCCAGTAGGTTTTGTCTGTTATGCATATTTGTTAAAGCATATTATTCATAGATATGACTGATATGATGGCAAAATCAGGAGGTACCTTTATATGGGCACTACTCCGAAACATTGACCCACATTGAAATCTTTCTTCTAGATGACAAATAGAGGCCAAATCAAAAGTATAGCAGGGAAAATATAGCTTGTCAAACTGAAAAAAAATTCGCTTGATTTAAATAAGTAAAAATAGTTTTATCCACCTCATAATTGAGGGCAGAAAGATTTCAGAATAGTCAAATATAATTACTATTTTACATCCATTACAGTAAGATGGGAATTAATTATACCCTACAACACTATGTGTTGGGGGTATTATAAGTTTGATTGGCCCAAAAATTATGTAACACCACGAAATATTGATTTCCCACATAGGAAAGTATATATGGATCTTCCTATCTCGCCGAGCTGAGTCGATATAGCTATGTATGTCCGTCCGTCCGTCTGTCCGTCTGTCCATGTTAATTTGTAATCACTCTACAGGTCGCAATTATGGTCCGATCTTCACGAAATTTAAAATGGAGGTGGGGCTATGGTCAGAATAGAACCCTATTTCTTTTGGTGATGATCGCATAATATTTAGGGGTTGAAATGGACCAAAAACTGAAAAAAATCCTGATTTTGCACTTGCTCTACAGGTCGCAATTATAGACCAATCGACGCGGAATTTCGCATGTAGCTAGGGTTTAGGGCTGGCAAGAAGCCTACCTATTTGGGTGGTCATCGGATAATATTTAGCGGGTAAAATAGACAATATCTTTTTTGTTGAAAAAATTCAAAATTTTTCATTAAACCGCGAATATTTTAAATCCCGGCGAAATCACAAAGCCATGACAAGGTTACTTCTGATCTTTATATTGATGTTAACATCCAAAATATGTGCGATATATATGTTTACCAAAGAAGATATGCTTGAAAAATCTCTTATATGTCGAGAACGGCTGAACTGATTTCGACAGTTCTCATTAATTCAGAATGACCTCTTGGCAGGAAACATAAAACGTCGAAAAAAATCGCATAAAAATATCTCTCTAAAGATGAAAATATTGATTTTGTAAAATTTTTTCATATTTTTTTAATTTTGTCATATTTTTGGCATATTTTCATTTTGATTTGAACATTTGGTAATATTTCTACAGCTAACAAAACTAAGTAGTTAGAATATCAGGATATCATATACAGATCGCATTTATGGCCCGATCCTTACGAAATTTTGCATGGAGATAAGATGAGGGTCAGAATAAAAACCTATTCTTTTTGAAGATGATCGCCATATATTTAGGGGTTGAAATGGACCAAAAAACTGCAAAATTGTCAGCAGGTCGTAATTATGGGGGTTACCGGACATTGCAAAAGCCAAGCAGTTCTGGATGGCCATCCAAAAATATTCAATGTGTGAAGGAGTTTGCCAACTTTTGTAGACAAAATACGAAAATGTCCATTCCAGTGACTTTTTGGAGAATTCACAAATACAGGAAAGACGCACTTCTGACTATTTCGTTAAGGCGGATTTCGTTGAAGAATATAGTCAAATGTCTGTATCTGATATAGATGCGTTTCAGTCAAAAACCAATAATAAATGTTAATCTTTTGCCACTTCTGAGAGATTATAGGTCTTTGGGAAATATTGGTTCCAGATCTAGGAAGACCATTTAAGTGCAACATCTACCAATAAATTGGAAATGAGCAAATTAGTTTAAGTTGCTATTATTCGAAAATTAAAGAACGAAACCTGATGGTTTTCTTTTATTATTTGTCACAATATCTTGTGGAATTCTTTCGAGTATCTTGCCTATGTAAACTGTATCGTTTATTATAGTGTTGTAGGGTATTCAACGGTCGGCCCCGCTCGACTGTAGCCTTTGCTTACTTGTTTTCATCATAGTATAATTCAATGACGATTCAACAAATATTTGGTCCCGTGCTACACCCTTGTATTTGTAATTTGTTCATGTTTCCACAATTTATTTCATATAGAGTACATCCCAAATCTACGTTCCCAACCAATATTATCTTGGGGTTACAAATTCAGTAGAATACAAAATTTTCTTTTCCGACCACACATTAGATGTGAAAGTGGACTTGGGGATACTCCAATGTGGGGACTTTACTTAAATAAATTCCTATGTGGCAATTTCTGTATGATGGTTCCCTACCCCAGGGTAGCATAAATACAATTTTTTAGCCAAATCAATTGATGAATTTGGTCAAGACCAATATGGGCCCTACTCTGAAAATTTCAAAATTTATGCGAAGAGGTTCTCTACACCCTTAGAAACACAGATGCCAAATAAGGGCCAAAAAATGAAAAAAGTGACCAAGACGCCAAAAATAGCTCAAATCATACGATGGTTATATAAATATGAAATCGGGTATCGGTACCCTTATCCGTGAGTTCTGATCGATATCGTGATCTGCAAAAGCGGTTTAAGGTATCTTGAACGTTTGGGAAGAATTTCTGGAAGGATAGAAATCCTCTTCTTACTAAAAGTCCCATTCGTTCTACTATTTTGCACCCTTAAAATTTGGTATTTTACTGATTTTACTCCCAAAGTATTTTGCATTTTGAGCTCTCATTGGACGGATGATTGTCACATGAAAGAAGTAGGTCCATGCTTTGAAATGAGCCCCATTTGGCTTTTTCGGTCATTTTTGTTTGTTTAAATGTGTTCGCATCTTCCAGCTGAACTACGATGTAGGCCCTGGAGTTAAAAGGTAGATGTCAGTTGAAATCCTATTTCGCACTTATTTCATTTTTTTTGTGAAAAATTGTACATAGTGAAAAATTATTCTTTATTTTGTTCAAAAAAAAAAAAAAAAAAAAAAATACGCTGAATTCAATATGATAATACAAATTGAAAAAAAAAAAATGACAAAAGAAGAATAACAAATTGAAAAAATCTTCAACTTGTTCGCTGATTTTTTACAGCAAATGTTTAAATATCCTTACAAAGTTTGTCAATAGAATGTATTATTATTTTAAAATTCGATTCCATTGAATTTTTTTTTGATATTTTCCCGATTTGAGAATTTTTGCACATAGTTCGGTACTACACTTCCATGTAACCCGCCATCAATTTCAGTTCTCAAGAAATCAAGTCAATGAAATAAATTGGTATTAATATTCGAATTCAAAAATAAACAAGTAAGCAAAGGCTACAGTCGAGCGGGGCCGACCGTTGAATACCCTACAACACTATAATAAACGATACAGTTTATATAGGCGAGATACTCGAAAGAATTCCACAAGATATTGTGACAAATAATAAAAGAAAGCCATCAGGTTTCGTTCTCTAATTTTCGAATAATAGCAACTTCAACTAATTTGCTCATTTCCAATTTATTAGTAGATGTTGCACTTAAATGGTCTTCCTAAATCTGGAACCAATATTTCCCAAAGACCTATAATTTCTTAGAAGTGGCAAAAGATTAACATTTATTGGTTTTTGACTGAAACGCATCTATATGAGATACAGACATTTGACTATATTCGTTAACGAAATAGTCAGAAGTGCGTCTTTCCTGTATTTGTGAATTCTCGAAAAAGTCTCTGGAATGGACATTTTCGTATTTTGTCTACAAAAGTTGGCAAACTATTCCACACATTGAATATTTTTGGATGGCCATCCAAAACTGCTTGGCTTTTGCAATGTCCGGTAACCCCCTTTCAAATGTGCGTGAGGATCGGGCGATAATTATGACCTGCCGACAATTTTGCAGTTTTTTTGGTCCATTTCAACCCCTAAATATATGGCGATCATCTCCAAAAAGAGTAGGCTTATATTCTGACCCTCATCTGATCCCCATGCAAAATTTCATTAGGATCGGGCCATAAATGCGATCTGTACATGATATCCTGATATCCTAACTACTTAGTTTTGTTAGCTGTAGAAATATTACCAAATGTTTAATTCAAAATGAAAATATGCCAAAAATATGACAAAATTGAAAAAATATGAGAAAATTTTACAAAATCAATATTTTCATCTTTAGAGAGATGTTTTTATGCGATTTTTTTAGACGTTTTTTCTTTCCTGCCAAGAGGTCATTCTGAATTAATGAGAACTGTCGAAATCAGTTCAGCCGTTCTCGACATATAAGAGATCTTTCAAGCATATCTTCTTTGATAGATCAATATATCGCACGTATTGTGCTATATATCCGATTAGTTGGATGTTAACATCAATGTAAAGATCAGAAGTAACCTTGTCATGGCTTTGTGATTTCGCCGGGATTTAAAATATTCGCGGTTTAATGAAAAATTTTGAATTTTTTCAACACAAAATATATGGCCTATTTTACCCGCTAAATATTATGCGATGACCACCCAAATTGGTAGGCTTCTTCCCCGTCCTAAACTCTAGCTACATGCGAAATTCCACGTCGATTGGTCTATAATTGCGACCTGTATAGCTACTGCAAAATCCGACATTTTTTCAGTATTTGGTCCATTTCAACCCCTATACATTTGGCGATCATCTCAAAAAGAAATAGGGTTCTATTCTGGCCCGACCCCGACCTCCACTCCAAATTTCGTGAAGATCGGGCCATAATTGCGACCTGTAGAGTGATTACAAATTAACATGGACAGACGGACAGACGGACAGACGGACGGACGGACATACATAGCTAGATCGACTCAGCTCGGCGAGCTAGGATGATCCATATATACTTTCCTATGTGGGAAACCAATATTTCGTGGTGTTACATAATTTTTGGCCCAATCAAACTTATAATACCCCCAACACATAGTGTTGTAGGGTATAAATATAAAAAACACTACAAATGTACATTAAAAAAAGTAAGTCAAAATGAAAAAAAAAAAAATCATGCAAAATAAAACATTACTATTGTACATTTCAAAAGTCAAAATGAAAATTTTAATATATCTTACGCGATTTTTTTTTTTTTTTGATATTATCGTTTTCGGACAGGAGACGATTCCGAATTTGTATGAAGTTAAAATCAGTCCAGAGGTTCTTAAGTTATAAGCGTAGTAACTAACACAACTTTCTTTTATATATATAGAGTTGAAAATGGGAGTAGAATTAATTATTAAAATTTTTTAATTGGAAACAAAACAAAGTTTTTGGCACGAATTTGAAAAAGGATATTCTGGGAAAATATACCTAATCTTATCTCTTAAATAAGGAGATTGTATTTCAACAATAGTGCTAAATTTGTTTGGTACAATGTCGTCTGCATTTTTTGAGAAACAACAATGCAAACATTATATTGAACTCCCACAAAAATTATTTATTTTAGGTGACGTCAATCCCGATTCTGTGACATCATCCTTGTCGTCCGATGGTCTCCTGACTGTAACTGCACCCATGAAGAAATTGCCTCCTCCGGCTACTGAACGAGTAGTACCGATTTCGCAAACTGGACCCTCGTCTAAAGAAGATAAAGAAAAGAAGGTTGAGACTACTACTGCCTAAATGGGACTATAATCAAAATCATTGAGACTACAACCAAAATTATTGTATAGACTGCTTCTTTTATACTTTTTTACAAACATTTTTGACTTTTGGCACCTGAATAACCTTTTTGTAACATGTATATTTGTACATTATTTAATTCAATAGAACAGGTTTGAGATTTATTTGTTGGAATAACTTAGCTATTTTGTTTTTCAAAATATGCATATCTACTTCTATTGTTGCTCTTCTAAAACAAATAATAAAAGTTCTGAATGAATAATAAGATGCATGCATACTATAGACATGTGGAACAGTTGCAATGTGGCTTAGTTTTTAGAATACAATCATTTTGTTAACAATCGGAAGAATTGCTGTTTAAAAAAAATAAAGCAACGGTCCTTTTGAGCTTCGCTACTTCGTTCATACCAAGACAGATGTATCGACAAGTGCCGGTAAAATTAGTTAGGTTAATTTATATGGGAACTATACGAACATTTTAACCTGTGTTGCAAACGAAATTACAAACTTGGTATAATAACAAGTAAAAAGACTTTAAAACCTTATAAAACTATATGGATTCAAATTTGTTCCACTTTTCAATACAGTAGCTGGAGCCATTGTATGGAGGCCATACCAAAACGGAAACCTATATAGAGAATTTTTTACAACAAGGATTAATTAATTACGACAAATAAATACCGAATTTCGTGGGTAAATGTGCCTAGAATTTTCAAAACACCAAATATCAGTGGGTATCGTTATATGGAAAACGTTGACCAGTAATTTTTTTGACACCGGTTGTAGAACCCATTATGGATTACAAGTACTAAATTGTATACAAATCTATTAGAATATGTGGCCTAAATCGTCAAAATACTGAATATCCGAAAGCACATATGCGCTACAGGAAAACGTGGACATAAATATTCAATGTTCTGGTACCGGAGCCAGAACCCTTTACGAACTACAGATACAAATTTTTAGGCAAATCTGTGGTAAAATGTGGCTACAACCATGATACAATAAAAATGTAAGGTAGAGCTACCAGCTGATTACAATTTTTTTTCTAAGTGTGCCCGACTTCTGCCACTTTTGTGTATGCATTTATTATTTTGAAAAAAAACAAGTAAGCAAAGGGTACAGTCGAGCGGGGCCGACCGTTAAATACCCTACAACACTATAATAAATGATACAGTTTATATAGGCCAGATACTCGAAAGAATTCCACAAGATATTGTGACAAATAATTAAAGAAAACCATCAGGTTTCGTTCTCTAATTTTCGAATAATAGAAACTTGAACTAATTTGCTCATTTCCATTTTATAGGTAGATGTTGCACGTAAATGGTCTTCCTAGATCTGGAACCAATATTTCCCAAAGACCTATAATCTCTCAGAAGTGGCAAAAGATTAACATTTATTATTGGTTTTTGACTAAAACGCATCTATATGAGATACAGACATCTATATGAGATACAGACATGGCCATCTAGAACTATTTGGCTTTTGCAATGTCCGGTAACCTCCATTCAAATATGCGTGAGGATCGGGCGATAATTACGACCTGCTGACAATTTTGCAGATTTTTGGTCCATTTCAACCCCTAAATATATAACGATTATCTCCAAAAAGAGTAGGCTTCTATTCTGACCCTCATCTTATCCCCATGCAAAATTTCGTAAGGATCGGGTCATAAATGCGACCTGTATATGATATCCTGATATCCTAACTACTTAGTTTTGTTAGCTGTAGAAATATTACCAAATGTTTAATTCAAAATGAAAATATGCCAAAAATATGACAAAATTGAAAAAATATGAGAAAATATTACAAAATCAATATTTTCATCTTTAGAGAGATATTTTTATGCGATTTTTTAGACGTTTTTTCTTTCCTTCCAAGAGGCCATTCTGAATTAATGAGAACTTTCCGCTAAATATTATCCGATGACCACCCAAATTGGTAGGCTTCTTCCCCGCCCTAAACTTAGGATCATATTTTTGAGAGAATATCCAGGCATTTCATTCAACCTTCGCACTATTTGACTCATTTTAAAAAATTAACAGAAAATATCAATTAAAACCACTTGTCTGACAGAAAGCGGACATAGCCTCAGGGCTGTATTTCTGTAGTTTTATGAAGCTGTTCTACCTTCTTATTGTACCATGGCTACAACTATAAAAATATCGAATATCGGGATACATACAATGTTTCGCCATCGAAGCTAGACCCCATTATGAACTACATTTCACTATATCTATATTTTTCAACACCAACTATCCTAGACATAATACAAACTACAATGCGAAATTTTCTAGGTCAAATGACAAACGGAATGACAAATTTAATATACCCTCCTTCATAAGGTGGAGGGTATATAAATCAAAGTAATTAATGAAACAACATTGTGGGCATGACATAATTACAGAGTGTAGAACAAAGCTATCTCCTAAATACAAATGTTTCCTTTTGGTGCCCCTATTCTGCCAAAACATATACACAGTTTGAATATTTGTGTATATTGTTTTGAATAAATAATAAATAATAAACTTTAACGGGCAACAAAATGTATAATTTGGGGATTAGACAATATTGTCCTATCTTGTATTCAAAATTTTGGAAAACCCCCCGATATTTCATTCATGTCTTGTGAGTTTTCCTCAATATAATAATTCTGTGAAAAAATATAAAATAAACAAAACCAATTGTTGCACGTTTTAAAGTCTATTTAAGACAATGAGACTCCAGTACAGAGTTGCATTTTCCTACTTTATTTGAAGTTGAGCAACCTTTCTGATTGAGCTATTATTGTGGGCAAGTATTTGATTTTGCAAAAAAATGTATTTACCCTCCTATATTTTAACAAGTAAAAAAGCTGTAAGTTCGGCCGGGACGAACTTTGAATACCCTCCACCATTTGGTACAAATTTGGCAATTTTCAAAAAAATAAAATCCGTTAAAAATTCTGTTAAAATCTTAAAAATAACGAATATAGCCGTATATAAGGGTCTGTAAGACGACGTGGACCTGCATAGGCAACTTTTGTCACAAGCTATTGCAATATTCAAATGCGAAACTTGAAAAAAATCTGTTTATAATGTAGCTAAAATCATCAAAATTCCGAATATAGGGAAGAACCATGGGAGTTGTAAAACGTGGACCTGCACAGACAATTTTTTGTCATAGGCTGTAGTAACCATTACGAACTTCAAATGCGAAATTTGAAATAATTCCGGTAAATAATGTCGCTAAAATCATCAGAATACCGAATATCAGGAGGTATTGTTATATGGGGCTATACAATGAAGTGGACCTACGTGGCCCATTTTCTGTTTTATGCTGTAGTATCTATTACGAACTTCAAATACCAAATTTGAAACCATTCTGGTAAATAATGTCGCTAAAATCATCAGAATACCGAATATCGGGGGGTACCGTTACATAGGGGCTATACGAACAAGTGAACCTACATGGCCCATTTTCTGTTTTATGTTGTAGTATCTATTACGAACTCCAATTACCAAATTTGAAACAATTCCGGTGAATAATGTCGCTAAAATCATCAAAATACCGAATATCGGGAGGTACCGTTATATGGGAGCTATACGAAGAAGTGGACCTACATGACCCATTTTCTTTTTTATGCTGTAGTGTCTACTACGAACTTCAAATACCAAATTTGAAACAATTCCAGGAAATCGGGAATTGTTTCAAAGTTGGTACCGTTATAAAGGGGTTATACGAAATGTATATTTCGAGGTGTTACAAACGGAATGACAAACTTAATATACCCTCCATACTATGGTGGAAGGTATAAAAAGTACCACACATATTTTATTGTTATTAGAAATTTAACAATATTCTGTTGAAAATGTAGTTAAAATTATCGAAATACCGAATATTAGGTGCTACCGTTATAATGAAACGTGAATATCCATACATAATTAGCTGTCATAACCTATGAGTTATTGCGAACTCCAAGTACCAAATTTTAAACTATTTCGTTAAAAAACTAAAATGATTATCGTTCGGTCCCACGCCTCTCACACCCGCCCCTGCCGACCGAGGGGGCAACCTCCCTATAACGTAGAGAGCGCGTACACACCAAAGTCCGGACCAAGGCGGGTTAGCAATGGTTTTACACCGGCTACAGAAACTACATCAGCCAGTGGTTAAAATACAAAAGACATTTTAAAAGTCACACACAGATTAGTAAACATAAATTTACAAAGCAACAATCTACAAGCACTGCGCATTGGCCACGTCTACTGTTCCGCATAGGGATTGTAGATCAGATGCCAGATGATCAAGCAGCTTGATGAAGTAAAACAAACATTATATAACATGTACATCTGGTGCTCAAAGGCGAAGTTCTACTGGTTCCGCGGAGGGAGTTGTAGATAATATGCCGTAAAAATGAGCTTATAGAGTTAAGAAGTCATAAATATAAGGTTACATAAACAAAATATTAGCATAGACATAGCACAACAAAAATTACATATGCAGAATACAATTTTTTATTGTGTTCAAGGGACTATATAAGCAAATAGTGTTACATAAACTGTTATAAATTACACAAAGTGATCTCAGTGGGCTATTAAGTTCATAATTTCTTCTTGCTATGGACAATTTTAACGGTTCAAAATTGCGAGTTCTACGAAAGGGAACATTATAGTTTATTTCACCAGTGAGAAAAGGGGAATCAATCAATCCACGTAATAATTTTATGATAAATAATGCTCTTAACATAAAACGTCTTTTTTCAAGAGTTGGAAGATCGATTAACATTAAACGACTCTCGTATGGCGGAAGAAGTTCAGAGGGGTTCCAATTTAAACCACGCAAAGCGAAAATTAAAAACTGAATTTGTACCGATTCAATTTTATCAGAATAATATTTATAAAATGGACTCCATAATATACATCCATATTCTAATACTGGACGAACTAGACTAACAAACAATCTTTTGGTTACGTAAGGGTCATTAAACTCTTTTGACCAACGCTTGATAAAGCCTAGTAAAGATTTAGCTTTATAAACACAAGAATCAATGTGTAAATGAAACCGTAGCTTAGGATCTAAGATTACGCCCAAATCAACGAAAGATTCAACATTATCCAATTTATAAGAGCCAATATAATAGTTAGATAGTAATGGCTGATTTCGAAATAGCGACAATTTTTTGCATTTTTTTAGATTAAGAGACATACCATTCGCACTACACCAATTTACGAAGGTGTCTAAATCATATTGTAATGAAATTGCATCGTTAAGTGAGTTAAT